AATGAATGTTAAAGATATTGATTGATTTGAGCATTTGACTAAGTTGAGCTAGAGATCATTTTGAAACCGGATAGGCATGGCTAGGTTCTTTTAAGTATAACTGATTGTGTTTTGCATCCTACATTTAGGCACTTAGACATTGACTTCACTTCTTTACCTTAGCATTTTTAGATTTGAGTGCCCACCTTCAAACTTCACTTTCTCCGTGTCTTAATTTGTTTGCTTGAGGACAAGCAAAAGGCAAATGTAGGGGTGTCGATATCTCTATTATTTATACCATTTTAGCTTGCAGTCATCACTACTTTTAGTCTTTAAACATGCATATTTTGCTTCTTCTTATCCCATTTGTAAACATTTAGGAGTTAGTGTAGTTTTAGGAGTTTCATTGCATTTTGCATGCATTTGTAGTTTTATTCAGGTACTAGAAGGAGTTTGGAGACCAAGTGGTGTAATGCATGTGATCTGGGAATGGAGCAAGGAGAAGGACAAGGTCGGATGGGCCAATATCGATGACGATATCGATATCATCTGATCGATATGGAGCATATCGAAGTGAATAACGACCACTTCAAGCCGATACAGCAAGAGCATGGTGTAAAGGCAGCATATCGACTAAGGAGGACATCGATACACCAGAAGGGAGCCCATACCGAGCTGTCTATCGACGTCCCAGATCGATACACAAAGACAGGACAATACCGAGGTACCATATCGACGTGTGTGCCCGATAAGCCTTAACTAAAGAGCGATTGTATCGACTTCACACTAAAGAGAGTCAAGCCGATACATTCTTGAAGCCTTGCATATCGACAAGGCCATGTCGATAAAAACCACAAGAAGACTTGATATCGATGTGTTTATCGATGTACAAGGCCGATATAGGTTTCTAAGCTCCCTTATAAATACTAAAGTCCTAAAATGGTTAGGCAACTTAGACCTTATTATTTTTCTAATGTTCTTGCTTTAAAAACCTTTCCTCTTTCAGCTTTGCTTTGTAAGAACTAGTTTGATTTAGTGAAATTCTGTATTTGCCTTTAATCTATTCTTGCGTATTCTGCTTCCTTATCATGCTTAACCATTATTTCTCTTTGGAATCTGTGGTTTTGATTACGGCTAGTGAGTAGTCTTATTTAGGGTTTGAGATAGGATAGATTAGAGGGGTTTTAGACTTAGATTAGTGATGTCTTGTGCTTAATATGATTGTCTTCTCTCTATTAGATGTGCTTAACACTAGATTAGTCTTGGCCAGGGTTGTTTAGTATCTTGGCTTTCTCTTATAACTGATAAGTGTTTGATGAAATGCTGCAATGAGTCTTTTAGAGGATTTGTTCTCTTAGCCTGAGGAATTAGATATCTAAGGTGCATTTTGGCTTTATAGGATTGAAGTTCTATTCTCAATGCTTGCTGATCATATGTTTGAGTAAAGGAATTTGTCTTGAATATGTGCTTAGCAAAGTGATTAGTATCAAGGAATTGAGCTAGTTATAAATGTTAATCCTATGCTTAGAAGATAGCATTGTTTGAATGGTTTTGAAGCATCACTAGTTTAGTTCCTATCCCCTCTTAGTCAATAACCTCCATCTTAGATCCTTACTTTAATCTATTTGAATTTCTTTGCTTTAAATATGTGTTGCTTAGTCTTGTTTAGTTTGATCACAACTGCTTTCTTGAATTTGGCTTGGCTTAAGTGATTTGCTGCATTCCTAGTATCTTATGAACTCAAATGGATTGACACCTTTCATACTGCAATGACATGAGTGTGTTAGGATTTGAATAGCTAAGCAAAATCCTGCTATCACTTGACCACTATTTCTTAGAACCTTGAGTCTTGCTTTTAATTTATAGTCTTAATTCGCTTATCATCTGTTTGCTTTTGCTCTGTTTGCTCTGTTTTGCAGTTCTCTGTTCACTTTAGGTTGTTAGTTTAAACTCTTCTTTTTATATGATTAGACCTAGCTTAGCAAGTTTTCTACATCTGATCTGTTCCTAAGCCTTTGGATTGGATTGATAACTTCTTTATACTATAATGGCAAGTGTAGAGAGATATTGAGAGTAGTAGTTCTAACTCTATAAAAGGTTTTTTTTCAATTGGCGCCGTTGCCAGTTCATTATGTTTAAGGCATTTGAATTTAATTTTTTGCTTAGATTAGTCCATTTTTTTTATGTTTTTTGTGCTTTTCATGATCGGAGAAGGAACACTAGTTCCATTGCACTCTCATCTTTGAATTTCAAATGCCAAAAGTCAAGCTTTGTGACTATAAACTAGCACACTTGGAAGGTAATTCTATGTTTATCCTTTTGCTTAGTACTTGAATTATTGTTGCAGGCACTAGCCTAAGATAATTTCCAGCAATTACAATTGGGAAAGAATCAAAAAAAAAAACTGTGAATTCCAATTGGAAGCAATTCCTAGTTGTTTAGGAATCAAATTTAGGAAGCTGTTACCAAACTCATGATAACTGAGGATAGAGAATCATATATACAGAGAGGTTACCTGTACATTTTAGTTGTACTTATTTAGATGATTGTTGCAGCCACTAGCCTAAGATTATTTGAAGCAATTAGAATTGAAAAATAAAAAACACAAATGATTGAAAAATCTAGGAACAACATTCAATTTGGTTCACAAATTATAATATACAATGTTACCTGTTGTGTAAAATTCTCAATCGTTACAAACAAACGAAGAATCCCAGCAACTTTCTTCATCTTTATGAAGGAGCCTTTTACTTGGCGATTATTTCTGATTTGAATGGAAATATCATATCCTAAACTTTCCGTCATAAGGGGATTTCAGTAAGTGAGTGTGATTTCAATATCATCCATGCCGAAATCAGCATTCACAACTTTTAGAAGATCTTCATATATGATATCTTCATCAACAACAGAAAATGATCCCTTTTTGTTTATATCTACTTCAAACTCCCAGTGATGATTCTCTCCAAATTTTCAGTCACCACAAACAACATATATACCTACCATATCTCTCTGAACTACAAAAACAAAAACACAGTTAAGAAGAAGAAGAAAATATACTAAATGAAGCAACCAAAAAGAATTATATGATCTTGAGTCGATGAAAAAGAAAATTTGAAACAGCCTTATCTCTGTCTAAAGAAGATAAGCATTATGTCATCATGCTCGTTGTTTCCTAAAATGTCAATAACTGAGGAATCGGATGAAAGTTATGAAGATATTCTCTAATTCGCTCATTTCAAACATAACATTGAATATTAAGATGGAAAACAATTTTAAAATCATTCTTAAGAAGCTTTGCAACATCCAAAATTAACATGTTATAGCTCGTATTGAAAAGGTAAGAGGAGGAGAGGATATTAAGAAGGAACATAATTCTCCAATAAACAACATCGTCTAGTGAAAAAGCTAATCTTCGGAAAATACCTATTGGATTGCAGCGCCGGAGAAGTTGAATGTTGATCTGGGCTGATTGATAACGATAATGATCGAAGCTAATTAATTTCCGATGTTGATCGGAGTTGATCGGAAGCAATGGTGCTGCTGAAGTCGGTGACGTCGGTGAGTGCTAAATCCCCAGCAAAATCTGGGCAGTAGTGAATCGTATCGCCGACGACGGATTAAAGTTTAGAATTTTCATTCAGATCAGAATTTCTAAATCAGTGTCTTACAAGTAAGGACAATATTGTCAGTTTATTATGAAAAATGTTATGAGTGAAAATTTTTTAACATATAGTTTAGTTTAGGATGGAAATCTGGTTTCCATGCCATTGGAATAAATTTCTCTAATAATAATAGTATAATACAATAAAAGAAAAAAAATTATATTTATAGAATAAAGCTCAAGAAATAGTATTTTGCTCAAGAAATATTATTTTGTTCGGTATAAAATTATGAGACTTTATTTGTTTTTTATAGATGTGAATAGTGTATTTTACGTTTTTTTAAGATTATTATTTTAGCTTTGAAATATTTCTTTTTATTCACTTTTATTTTTTATCCTCTCTTTCAAATATTTTTTTTCTTTTAGAATTATTGTTTTAGATTACAAACTTTTTCCAAACTGAAATATATATTTTATTAATCTTAGTTATTCTTTTCATTTTAATCAGAACTGTGAATCCTTATATAATAAGATGCAAAAAAAAAAGTGTGCAGCAGACGGAGAAACAATCTAGAGCTCTAAAGAAATTCCTAAAGAAATCGTCACGTGTCGCGATTATGTGAATTACTAACTTTAATACATCCAATTTTATATAATAAGATATAGATATGAATAGTATTTTCGTTTTTTTGTAAGATTAGTGTTTTAGCTTATGTTTTTTTTCTAAATTAAAATATTTCTCTTTATTTTCTTTTGTTATTTATTTTCATTTTCAGATATTATTTTTCTTTTTCTTTAAAAATTATTTTAGATTATTTTTTTTAACTGAAATATATCTTTTTATTAAACTTAGTTATTTTTTATTTTTATCAAAAAATATGTCAAAATCTGTATTGAAAAACTCATTAGGTGTTACATAAATTAAATACAATCTTATATAATAAGATGCAAAAAAAAAGAAAAAAAAAGTGTGCCGCAGAGGAGAAACAACCTAGGGCTCTAGAGAAAGTCAAAAGAATTTTGGAGCAAAAGAAGATGAATAAAATCAAGAGATCAACGCAATCATCACATTATGGTTATGATACATCTCAATCCACAGACCATATTCCTCTCGACGTAATCATCGAGATCCTTTCAAGACAGCCTGCAAAATCTATTGGGAGATCTCGCTCCGTCTCTAAGCAATGGTCTTCCATCACCACCACTCCAGATTTCATCAAATCGTTCGCGACTCGGTCCTCGGCACTCTCAGGGCCTTGCGTTCTGCTAATCTTCATCAAACGCGACAACGAGACACGCAAAAGATGGTTCGCGACTCGGTCCTCGGCATCATCTCGCTCCGTCTCTAAGCTGTTCGTGTTCTCGCCTCCGCTACAAGCGAATAATTATCACGAGGATTATCAACTTACAATCCCCAATAATGGGTTCCTTAGCATACGATTACGTGCATGGCTTGGTCTACATGGAATATTCTACACAGCTCACGATCTGGAACCCTACCATGAACCGCTTCTTCACATTACCTAAACCTGAAGGCATCGAAGGGATTTACGGAACAGGATACTTGGGATATGATCCTCTTGCCTGTAAGTACAAAATACTGTGCATTATTACAGGAGAAAAGTTTGGAGTTCTTACATTGGGAGCTCAAGAATCATGGAGAATATTATCCGAGGGTGCCCCTAAGCATTGGTATGGCTCAAGTTGTGTGCTATGCATTAATGGAGTGATATACTATGAAGGCTCTTTTGGGGTGGAGCCTCAGACGCGTGCCATAATGAGCTTTGATCTTAGGTCCGAAAAGTTCCATTTGATTAAATATCCCAACGACGATTTTCGCGGTTCATAAATATAAGACCATCTTGCATAGTTTCCTTTATAAAATTGACGGTTCATAAATTAAAATTGCTTTAAACCGTATAAGGCCTTTTTCAGCCTTAAAACTTTGTTTTCTTCACCTTCAATCACGAACCTGGGTGGTTGTGCGACATAGATCTCTTCTTCAAGTTCTCCATTGAGAAAAGCTGATTTTACATCCATTTGATAGATCTTCCATTTCATTTGAGCCGCAAGAGCAAGGATGGCTCGGATTGTATCATGTCTTGAAACTGGGGCAAACGTTTCAAGATAATCAACTCCATACTCTTGAGAGAACCCTTTGGCGACCAATCTCACTTTGTACTTGATTGGACTTCCATTTGCATCCGTCTTGGTTCGATATATCCATTTAACACCAATGATGTTCTTTTTCTCCGGTTTCTCCACAAGTAGCCATGTTTTGTTCTTCTCGATCATTTCAATTTCTTCTCTCATGGCGTCTCTCCATTCTTTGATTTCGCTTGCTTCATCGTATGATTGTGGTTCTTCAGATACAAAATAACATGCTTCTGAGATTTGAACCGTTTCCTCAAACTCTACTCTTGGTGCAATTTGCATGATATCCACTATTGATTTGTATTTCTTAGGTGGCTCTGACGTCTCTCCTCCTCCGTTAATTTCATCATGATCACCAAATTGAAGATGAATAGGACTGGAAATATCTTGAACTTGCTCCGCTTGTGGCTCTTGAATTTTTATTGGCAAGGAAAAATTCTTTTTCACTTCTTCGTTTCTTTCCCAATCCCACTTTCTTCCTTCTTCAAAATGTACGTCTCTAGATACTTCGTCCTTTTCATTATTTAAAATGAAAACTCTGTATCCCTTTGATCGACTGCTATAACCAATGAAGATTCCACGTTTGGCCTTTACATCTAACTTGCTTCTCTTCTCATCGGGTATATGTACAAAGCATAAACTTCCAAATATCTTCAAGTGCCCAACCGTCTGTTTATGCCCACTCCATTTTCAAAAGGTGTGATGTCATCTTCAATGGCTTTTGTTGGTAAGCGATTCTGTAAGTATGCCGACGTATACACCGCCTCTGCCCAAAGTTTATGTGGTAATCCTTGATATGTGATCATGGTTCTCGCCATCTCCACAAGTGATAGATTTTTACGTTCGGCAACACCATTTTGCTGAGGTGAATACGGCACCGTCACTTGTGTCTCAATTCCATACTTTTGATAGAAATTGTTGAATTCACTTGAATTGAATTCACCACCGCCATCTGATCGTAACTTCTGAATCTGACATCCAGATTGAGTCTCCACTAAGGCTTTGAACTTTTGAAACATTGAGAAGACTTCAGACTTCTACTTGATAAAATACACCCAACACATGCGGGTATAATCATCCACAAACAACAGAAAGTACCAACTTCCATCAAGTGATGCAGTTTGCATCGGACTGCAAACATCGGTGTGAACGATCTCAATTTTCTCCTTTGTTTTTGTTTGAGACTCCTTTAGAAACACGTCTCTTGCTTGCTTCCCAAGTTTACATGCACCACACACTTCGTTGTTGATTTGTAGCTTTGGTAATCCAATTACCATTTTCTTACTTTGCATTTGTTGAAGCCTTGAATTTCCCACATGACCAAATCTTTTATGCCATATCTCTGTTGCTTCTTGTTCACTCGTGATCATCGCCATTTCTCTTGATGGATTCTATTTTATTGGAAAGCTCTTGTTCTTTATTTGTATCTCCATGTTTTTTCTTCCTGTAGAATCTAAGATTATGCACCTTTTGCTCTCAAACATCACACGATTTCCACAAGAGATGATTTGTGGAACGCTGATCAAATTCTTCTCCAGACCCGGTACCAAAAAGACATCCTTTATAATTCGCTTTTCTCTGTTTGTCATGACTGTAATATCTCATTTTCCTGCTGTCATGACAATTTCTCCGTTTCCAACTCTTATTGGAACCTTGATACTTTTATCGAGTCTTGTAAAGTAACTCTCTTCTTTTGTCATATGATTTCTGCAACCACTATCGACCAACCATACATCTTCTTTGGTGGTTGCCGGTGCTTCTTCACTAGCACTAAAGAGCATATGACCTTCTTGATCATCTCCATCTTCAAGGCTCATGTGTGCCCTTTCAAACGTTTTAGAAAGACACTCCCTTGAAAAGTGACCACCTTTGCCACAAGTGTAGCATATTTTCTTGTTTCTTTTATCGTTGTTTTGATCTTGAATCTTCGACTTCTTCCAGCAATGAGATTCTGTATGATTTTCTCTTTTAGAGAACCCACACCATCTTTTGCCTTTGCCTCGATAGCCATCACTTTTGTTGTTTTCTGATTTGAAACCAGATTTTCCTCCTCCTTTTGTTTGAACAACAAAAGCCCCTTCCGTTATGTTCTCGCTTCTAGCTTCCACACGTTTTTCATGTGCCATAAGAGTTCCTATTAACTCTATTACCGGCAACGAACTGAGATCCTTCGTTTGCTCCATCACAGCCACTATACTGTCAAATCTCGCTGGGAGAGAAATGATAATTTTCTGGACAATTTGATAGTCTGTCTTCTCTTCACCATGAACCCTTAATTGATTTTTCAAATCAATTAGCTTCTCTGTGAAAACCTTTATGTTATCACTTTCGTTCATCTTTAAATTTTCGTACTCTCTTCTTAACGATTGTAATTTGATCAATCGTACTTGAGGAGATCTCTGAAATTCGGATTTCAAAGCATCCCATGCTTCCTTTGCCGTAACCGCCGGTGTTATGCGAGAGAAGATCTGATCCATCACTGAAGTTTGTAAAATTTGCAGGGCCATCATATCCTTTACCGATACTTCCTCCCACTTATTTATTAATCGTAATCCTTCTGGAGTTTCCTCTCCTTGTGCTGGTCGGTTCCCAAGTCCGTTCTCCACCACGTTCCACGATTTTCTGGTTTTAAAGATGGTTGTCATCTTGATACGCCAGAAATCGTATCTATCCCCATCAAATATGGGAATCACCTGTTGCGATGTTGCTTCCATTGCCTCTCTCTTTTTGCTGTAACTTTTTGCAGAATTATTGCTCGAATTTTGCTTCTCTTGTCCCGTAGATCAATGAAGCTCTGATACCATGTTAGAATATCGATTCCAACAAAGTAAGAAAGCGAAGATAAAAACAGAGTATCACACAAATTGTGATAAATTGGATTTGTATTGATTATCAGAAAAACTGTGTTTACATTCGGTGACGACAATGTGTTTAAATAGAAAAGAACAACACACACGAAGACACAAAGAGTTGTATCTCTTTACTTGTGAATCTTAACTGAAACAACACAACTTATTCTAAAGTCACGACTCTTAATAAATGTAACTACCAAACCAAACTCAATTATCGACTAACACAAGAGAGGTTAAGATTCGAGGAATTGCATTTGACGACTTTAAGAAACTTGGTGTAGATGGATCCGTTTTTATGAACGGCCTAAGTGTTGTACCAAATCACATTGAAAGTCTTATGTTGTTGTAAGAGATTTGATTACTTTTTTTCTTAGAATGACATTTTACTTACGCATTTTCTTATGATATTTGTTTTGTAATCGCTGATTGATTGAATTCTACATATCCACTTGCATTCTACAGGCTTCACTGATTTTGTTAACTATATATAACTCAATTCTTATTCTTCATAAGAGACTGTATTTTATTTTTCAGATTCAGTCATAACACAAACGTAAAACATTTTTATTTACAGCCTTTCTGCAATTATTCACTTTGCTGGGGAGTGTAAGTATGAAGTGTTTCCCCTTTTTTAAAGTCCTAAAATAGAATTTTTTAAAAACTGTTAAAAGCTTTTTAAAAAGTACGATGTCTTGATAGTGTATAATATGTAGTTCCTCTTTCAAAAATTCATAGTTTGTTTTGCCGTTTACTACAAGCTTTTTATATGAATATAATATGTAGTTATAAAAAAATTTAAACGAGTTTTGGAGAATTTCATTGTTTAAGAAATAAGAAAGAAGAAGAGGTCTTTCTCTACAAACGACATTAGTGAGTGCAAACTTTTAGGTGTTTGAGAAATTTCTCTAGACGAGAAGGCAACTCAGGGTCATTTGGATTTGAAGATGTGTCTGCTACCACTACCATTTGCGTCTCTCCTAGCAAATAGCTCACAGCGGATTCCTCAGGATTTTGGCAATTAAGAAGAGCCTCGCAGTCCTGAAATAGAAAACAAAACATTAGCTAAGCAAAGATCCAAAAACATTCAATCCGTCACACAAGTTTGGTGTTGAAAAGAAGCAAAGGATAATTCTGAAATAGAAAACAAACATTATGCTAAGCAGATCTAGTACTTCTCTTAAATACTTCGCATAGGATAATTCTTGATCTTCAATGATAGGAACAGGAAGTGAAGCAGTAGCCAAATCAAAGGCCTTAACAGTCCTTTCATATCCATAGTATAGCAGGTATGTCTTCACAAACCTGATAACCAAAACAAATGAATGTTAGCTATGAACAAATGGAAACAAGGATTGCACTTGACAGTAACTGTACTCACTCATGAATTATGCCTGGAGATGCGGATATCTTTTCAATTTCCACGTTTTGCTTTTCCCTCATTTATACTTTATATCCCCAATAAAACCAGAAACAGGAGTTTGCTTCTCATTGGCAAATTACATTGCAGACATAAACGCAAATTGTATCAGAAAAACCTACAGTATATGGAAATGATGCATATTATTATGAAACCATGCAGAGACGTATGCCACATTATTGCATTATGAAAATGGAGGATCTTGCCTTAAGATTAAAATGAAAAGCTTCCGGTTCAAAATTAACAGTAACCCTGCAAGATTCAGGACATATTGGCATAAGAAACGATTGTGGTGTTCACATCGGTATTGTAGAAGAAGCAAACCATACTCCTCGTTTTGGCTATGTAGAACTATTGTCGACTAGATTACACGTGAAGACCTTTGGGATTGTCCCTACTAGCGATTTTTGCTATTATCAAAGAAGAAATAAAAGATGTCAGTATGTAAAAACACACAGTGCGATTTGAAATGAAGTGAATCTTCAATCTCCATTTCGAAAAAGGTACTTACGTGAAAAAGAAATCATCGTCTTCGTACCGCAGCCAACTGTATCACCGGTTGTATACGTTTGGCAGACTGCCTTACAAGCTTCGTCTTCTCCATTTTTACAATATATGAGCCAATTATCACCACAACATCTACATGTTCTTAACACCGATCTACCATTACAGAAGAGATAAAAGAAAATAAGCCACTGAATTTCAATTTAACCAAGGAATTTCTTGTAACAGAAACAAAATAAAGGTTTCTGAAAACTTTCCAGTTCATCTAAGTAAACGTACTTCACTTCCCACATATACTCATATCATTATAGTATGTGGTTATCAATTCATAATGGAAAGATTAAGATGTTGATCAAATTCAAGCAATCAAACTAATCAAGACTAAACAGATACAAATTCGAAATATGATAATGGATAAAAAGCAAAGCTCAAGATAGGATTATTGATGTAGAGGGGTTTAGAATATATTAATGATGCTTCACAAATCATATAACAATGCTATTTCCTATGCATATAATTCATTTCACAAATTATATAAAAATACTATTTTCTAGGCATAGAATTCAAACACAATAGATTAACCCAATTCCTTGATGGAAACCCCTTTCCTAACAATCTAACCAAGAATTAATTCCTATTAGTGATTATGATACTAACAAGCAAGCAAAACCAATTGTATTAAGACAAGATACATTCTAGACAGTTAATCTCTTAGACTAGAAAAGATAAATTTTCTAAGTGACTAATTAAACACTTTGCAAACATAAAAGAAAGCTAGATACTAAGCAAGCTTGATCAAGACTAACATAACACTAAGCAAATTTAATAGAGAGGAAACAATTATTAATTAGTGATATATATGATCATTTGCTTTGATCTACATTTCTCTTTTTATTTTTCATATTTAAATTCTCTTTTCTTAGACTATCATCTAACATAATATCCGTTTTCTTTAGATTCTCTCTTCCACAAAATTGAATTTCAATTGCTTTTATTGCACATTTTATCTCTACAAGAACAAAAATAAAAGTTGCACCCAGTCAATCTGATACGATTTATATATGTAGCGATCCCATGCATGATAAAATTACAAAATTTGTTTCATAAACACTTTGGACATTTTATTTTTGTTTTAATACATTGTTCAATTTCCCCTTTTAGATTTATAAAATATTTTTGATTAATAATCAATTTCTTGATTTTTAAGATAAGAAAGAAATTACTATATTAAAAAAAAAAAGAACTTGGCTAAAGTTGAAATGGATAGTTGACAAAAATACTGATTAACGAGAAAAAAAAACTAAATAGTAATAAAATTAAAACTTATTTAATATTATAGTTGTTTTTCAAATCTTTAGAACAATAAGTGAAAAAAACCAGCGGTCCATTTCAACCGCTTATTTTATCGGCCTATTTTATCTTACCATCTAATATTGGTAACCGAAAACACGGTTCTAACCCAACCACTGCCACCTATCAAAACCAGATTTCTTTATCCTCTTGCAATTGTTGTTCTTAAGAAGCCGGTTAAGCGAGAACAGCTCTCCCTGACCGTCATTCGATGACCGGAGTTCTACACAGCACGCCATTACCTGCCGGAGAAGTGTCTCAAGATGAGAATAAAACCAATCTTCGCTGTTCGGATTCGTAGATAAAACCGCTGCATTCACAGCGTCTGCAACTACTTCCCTTTGTGACACTTCCAAGAAATGTCCCACATTTGATTCTTGTGGACATTCATAGACAAGCAGAGCAAAACAGTCCTGAAAATAGAGAAACAAGAACACTCGAATCTCCGACTTTGAATCCATCACATAAGTGGTAAGGTTGCAAAAGTATAGGTTACCTCTACAATGTCTTGGAATACAGTTAAACCGGTGAATTTTGCTAATTCCGATCTTCCATATTCCACAGCTTTTTCTAACGCTCCTATCTACAAATGTCAAAAAATATTTCAGAGCATTTACTAATGGAAATAGTATAACCATCACTAATATGATGTGCAAATAATATATATTACCCGTACTAATTCAATGAACTTTTGACAGTGAAGGAGGAAGCAGAGTTCTGATTTATCGTCCTGCAGATGCTATACAGTTAGGGTAAGAGTTTTTAACTCAATGTGAATCAAATGATACGACTTTTGATCCTCAATCCACCTGTACAAGCTGAGGATAGCAATCCCGGATTTTAGCGAGAGCAGCAACAATCTTACCCTTCCCTATAAGCTTTACCAACCGAAGTATGGATCAGTCCAATAACAACGAGAGAGGCGTAGTAGTAGCAATGAAGTTTAGTTTTGATATGTGACAGAGAGTAAAAAGAGTAAGATAGCAATATAATTCAAATACCTGTCTAAGGATTTTCCTCTCATGCAATGCATATGACTCTTCTTGCACATCAACGCCATTTTCTTGAGCTACGTAGATCGGAGGAACCTTACTGCTAGTAGCTAAGTTGAAAGCATGAAGAGTCTCTTCATACCCAAAATGAAGCAAGTAGTTCTTCACAAGCCTAATCACCAATAAACTGAAGCTTTAGCTATGCAGAAAGTTTATTACCAAACTGATAACAGAGAAGAAAAGAACAAAAACTGCATTTTCAGTAATTACTCACCTATGGTTCATGTTTTGAGGTATTGATAACTTTTCAATTGCTACTTGTGGCTTATTCCTCTCCGATGTTTCAAACCCCTAACACAACAGAAAAAGTGTAACAGCTAAGTATTACATAATCGCTCCTGAAACCTTACCCTAAAACAAACACATAACTAAGACCAAGAAGGGCGGAACAAGTAAAGAAAATCACCATCTAACTTATACCTCAGCTTTCTTACAGACTATATAAATGTTAACTATAGAGTCTAAGTGATGATGTTTGATAACACATAACCTGCAATCTTGGATGCTATTTGTAACCATAAAACGTCCGCCACACTTTAAGTTTGTACCATATGCAAAAGTTACAAACTAATTTTTACTATTCGCTAGTTGTTGTACTAGTGATTATCCTATCTTCAATTTACTCAAGTTAAGACCTAGAAACTCCACTTGTATGCAAAAAAAAAAAAAAAAAAAAATGTAGATCTTACCTTAACATCAAAAGCAAACTTCTCCTGCCCAAAGTTGACAGTGACCCTGCCAATATTCAGAACAAAGAATGGAGCTCACATGCAAGCAGTTGAGATAATACTAGAACAAAGAGAAATATAAGATCATACTCCTCGTTTTGGCTATGTACAGCTACAGTAGGGAACAGAGGACCCTTGATGTACTTGGATACTGTCCTTACGAGAGTTCCATTTACGCTGTAAAAAATAAACGAGGATATGTAAGAAGTGTGATACCAAACGAATTGGATCTTGATCTCTACGTTGATTGCTTACGTGAAGAAGAATTCCTGAGAATCATAGTTTATACCACCACCAACTGTGTCACCGGTTGTATAAGTTGGACCAAAGGATTCACCTTCTTCTTTCCCAAGATAAATGTGTCCATCTTCACCATGATAGCCACACGTGTTGAGTTCCCATCTAACCATTATATAAGAGCTGATAAGTACGAGTATACCGATTCAATTTGAATTCTCATCAACAATGATATGAGATGAGTGGAGTGGAGACTCCTTTTTACAGAAACAAAAACTCAAATTTCAGACTGTTCCCTCAACATAAATCAAACCAAAATTGAACTACACACTTACAGTTTCACCCTAGCTACAACCTTCGATTGAAATTAATGGCTTCATTGTGGAACAATCTTCACCATGATAGCCACAAGTGTTGTGATCTAACTATTGGTCCATTACATAAGAAAATATAAGAAAGACTCTACTAATTTCAATTTGAATGCTCATCAACAACGATACAACATGAGACCATCTTGCATAGTTTCCTTTTTAACAGAAAGAGAAAACCTAAATTTCAGATTGTTCCTGAAACTGAACCAAGCCTAAAATAGAACTCAACACTTTCAATTTCACCATTCGACTGAAATTGAATTGAATCTCAAAAGAAAAATTACCCAGGATGCCTCCCAATTTTGAAGTTATCGTTAGTGAAACCAATCGCGACTCGCCCTTTAACGCCAGCATTTTTGACATAAATCTCGAAGTAGTAAGCGAGACGCCTGAACGGAGCCGGTTTATTAGCCTGAACGACGCCGACGTCGTGACTGTGCAGGCCAACGCCGGTGTACTTGACGGAAAGTTTATCCGGAGAGACGATTACAAAACCGCTTGAACTGTTGATCGTATTCAACTCCGTCGGCGATTCCTCGACGTCATCCTCAATCGTTTCTCGTTTAGCAGAGTTACGATATTTTTCCGTGAAGTATGAGTTCATTGAATCGGAGAGAAGAGAAAACCCTAGAGTTCCGAATGTTGCAACAGAATTATTGGAGGATATTTAATTTGTTGCTACGTTGATTCAGTTTCAAAATGATATCTTCAAATGATCTGATGTTTGTTACAAGTATGAAGCCGTACCGAAAATGAATACAGCTTAACCAGAAAAAACTAAACCGGTAAATACAAATAAACCTAAGATGGTTTATCTCTAGATTTATCCCTCAAGTGCGTAATTTTTCTCTTTATCCCATCATCATGCTTGTGCAATGTTGGTTGCTTGGAAGAAAGAGATAACTAAAGTCTTGACTCAGCAAAAGTTTGTTGCTCATCTCGTTGATGTACAGTATTATGCATACATTTTTGTTTTGTACTCAGATTATACCTTTGTGCAGGGCCGGCCCAAACTTATTGGGCGCCTAAAACCTGTTAAAATTTTTTTGCCCTAGAAACTTACAAAAATTTGATGTCTCTAATAATGATAATAAATTTTGGCGTCTAAAGCCTTGCCCTTGTGTAAATTATTGGAAGATTTTTGGATGACAAGATGAACATGAACATATTTTTTATTATTATTAAGAAGAGAAATTTCCAGAAATATATTTAATTTAAGTTTTTGTTCCTAATATATACTATTATTCCAAAAAATTCCTTCCATAACATTTTTTTAATTTTTCACAAACAAAGGTATTAATGGGTAAGACTAATCTGAAATTTGAATCTTTTGTGTGGTTTAGGATCACTCTTCTAGTTTGATTGTGATTTGTGATTGTGAATTTCTTAGATTTTTGAGATTTTTTTTTGAGAAAGTGATTTCGGAATTTAAAGCTCAAAATCATATAGTGAAAGATAGATCTGATATAATTGAGTGAAAAGCTCAAGAAACCCGAGCTAAAACAACAACAATGGTGAAAAAAAAAGAAATCGGCGGAAATTAGGGTTTAATTATCGCAGAGGTGAGGAAGAAGATGAGGGTAAATTTATGAAGATATTCTAAAGTTTTAGGAATATATTCTAAAAGTTTAGGAAGGCTTTCCTAACATGTATAAATTAAGGAAGTCATTACATGTATTTAGGAATGCCTTTATAAATCGTATAATTGGTTTTTTGTGTTAATTTATACAACTCAAATTCAAGAAGCTTTTTTTGGAAATCCTTCCACAATTCAGCAAATCCTTCCACAATTCAGCAAATCCTTCCACAATTCAGAAATTTTTTCCACTATTCAGGAAGCTCTTCCACAATTTAGAAAATTTTAAAAAATTTAGGAAAAATTTCCTAAATCATATGAAACGATGTTAAATTTTAGTATTGATAGACCTTCCTAAAAAACCGCAAAACATTAACAGAAAAAAATATTTAGGAAGACTTTCCTAGAGGGTAAAATAGGAAAACTCAAATAAAAAATGTTAGGGGTGGAAAATTTTTAGTTTCTCTGTTATATTTGTTCTGAAAACTTGTTTTCAGTGTAATTATGGAAATTGTCCTATTAAGAAAGTTAATATTTATATATATATATATTTTTTATTGTTAAATATGTAGATTTTTGATATGAAATATGTAAAAAATTGATAAAAAAAAGTTATGACTATATATAAATAAGTTTATTGGCTAATGTATAAAGACAAGAGAAACTATTCTACTATTAATATTTCTTCCAAATCCCATTATGATACCAGAACTAAGATCCAATTTTTATGAGTTTGAGTTTTGTTATTTTTTAGAGCAATAGTCACATACAAAAGTTTTATTTGATTTTTGGCTGCCTATTGCTACAGATTTATTTTTCTATCGGTTTCTTTTTATCTATCAATTTTCTTAAATTTCATTCTTTAAATCTTCTCAAAGCTTTGTTTAATTTTGATTTTCAAAAAAATATATATATCTTCATATGATTATTCATCTACTACAAATTTAATGTATCCACGAAGATGATGACTCCAACGAATATATACTGATCAGATGGTGATGATGATATTTTTGTAGGTTATGAACATGAATCTATTGATAGGTTCGTTCAGTTCATATGGTGACTTAATGACAACGTGATGGAAATACACAGCACAATGATTATGATGTATTTTCCACTGAATCGATGACCTTATGACGAGATATAAGCACCATTGATAATTCGTCGATTGGGTATAAACACCATGAAGATGATCAGATGATTTGTCCAATCTCATACGTATTGCTACTAAGAGCTTGCAAGAGAGTATTGAGAGATTTTGAGATGGCGAGATCGACATAGACATATTTTTTTATTGTCATTAGGAAATTAAAGTTAACATTTATTTGTATATTTTTTTATTGCTATATAAACAGATTTCTTATATTGAATATGTAAAGGGTTTTACTGGTATGTGAAATGAATCACAGTATAGCAGAATAACTGAAAAATTATTAGCGGAATAAACTAAACTGAATAATATTTTGACTGAATAATTGTGAAACGCTGAAAAGCTATTTTTAGTAGATTAACTACGCTTTATTTTTTAGTTATATTTTTAACACGCTAGCGAAATCACGTTTTAAAAATATAAAAAAACATGATAAATAATATGAATGGTAAAATAACAGAATTAAGTTTCCAAAACGTGAAAACGCTGTATACCATTGGGTTTGACTGGTATGTCAATTTAATAGCTGAATAGCAGAATAGCTGAATAATAAATTAACGGAATTAATAGGACAGGTAAACTCAAAACTGAATAAACTCAAAACGCTAAAAAACTGGTATCTATTAGATGAATAAAATTTCTCAAAACTAGTTATAAATTTAAAATGTGTGGGATAAATTAAAAAATAGCGTGTTAATTTTTACGTTTTACCATTCAATGCTTAATATTGTGAATAGTATGTATTTAGTAGAATCACGTTTTTAAAACGTGAAAACATTAAAAAGCTGCTTACCATTCAACCCCAATATACATAAGCCTATTAGGTTTATTAATAAAGATAGGAGAAACTATTATACTACTAAAGTTTTCTCCAAGTTCTATCATACATTAAAAAGGGGGTTACTGGAATGTCGTTGTTGGTTTGATAATTTTCAAAATCCATACAAAATCTATTGTTATTCAAAAAGTTTGGATTGTAAGGATTTTATGATTCAATTAAAGTTTTGTTATTATGACATGGATTTTAAACAAACTAACACATAAAAGAAAACTTTTAAAATACTAGTTATATCCGTAATGAAGATTATTTGGGAGATGTATTTATATAGAGTTGTTTGATTTCAAAAGTTGAGAAATTTATTAAATTTATAAAGAGTTTTGGTAGATTTGGAGAGAGCTTGTATAATTAAAAAATCTATAAATATATTGTTATGTGATTGATTTTAAAAATTTTAGGGATACATATAGTATTTTGAAAGTTTTGTCTTATGTGTTAATTTGTTTAAAATCAATATCCAAATCACAAAATTTTTAATGAAATCATAAGATCTTTTAAAACTCAAACATTTTGAATAACAATGAATTTTGTATGAATTTTAAAAATCATCAAACCAATAACACTGGATTTAAGTAAAAATGATATCCTAACTATTAAATGACAAGCACCTTTATTAAAAAAATGTTTATGTGTCGTTACCACAGATAAAGATAGTGCAAAAGAATACCACGCTGTAAATGTGACCTTGCATTTTTGGAGTCTGAAAAGGAAAATTTTGACAAATCGGTCATCAAAATCATCTAACCATCGGGACATATCTCGACGAAAATTGGTTCTACAATGGCGAAATCCAAGAGAAATCACAATCAATCTCTCTGTCTAGTTGCACTGCCGTCGAATCCTAACTACTAGAGAGAGGGCGATACGACAATTACCTCCCGTTCAAGGTACTTTTACTCCGATCTGTTTTCTCGATTTCTTATTTCAAACTTGCGAAGAGCTCAAATGCCACTTTCTTTAAAAAAACCTCCGAGACATCTCCTTCCGGGCCTCTCGACTGGCTTTGCGGACATCACCCTCGCGCTCGCGGATCAGGCAGAGGTTTTCCTCCCTCGCGTCCAAGGCTTCGTGTAGAGCTCGCACCGCTTTGGCCTGGGCTTCAAAGATCTGGTTGGTGGCAACCTTGAACTTCTCGCCCTTATCGACCAGCTCGTTCTCGAACTCGGTGATGTGAGCATGCTGACCTCGGAACTGTTTAAGGAGTTTAGTCTAGCGAGAGACCTACGCATTCGCGGCCTCAAGGTCGGACTTCAGCTTGCCGACTACCTTCCCCATCTCCTCGATCTCCTCCGGATGAGGGACGTCCTGTAGCCTCTGCTCAAGTCGAGCATAGAGCCGGTTTCCAGCCTCCATAGCCTGCGAGCATCGAGGACCAAAGCGTTAAGATGAATAACATTTAACCAAAAAATATACAAAGCAAAAGGTACACCCGTTACCTTCCCCTGGGCCGACGCCATCTCCACGTAGAGCTCTCTCTCGATCATCTTCTTGAGAGCCGGAAGTTGGCACCCAGCAGGCTTGAAGTGACGCCACATGGCCACCATGCCCTCGGAGTCATCCGTGATTAGATGATTCTTGGTGTGCTCGAGCTTCAAGTGGAACGGCTGGCTACCCATCGAGCCCCCACTCCCGTTAGACGCCGACAGACGCGGCTCTGTAGCTCGACTTCCTCCGTCATCTCTAGGACTCTTAGAGGCAGGCTGGGACGAGTGCTTGGGCTCCTGGTCATCAACGGAGCGCTGGGTCCTGCCCGAGCTGACAGAGATCGCCCCCACTAATCGTGGAGGGGG